AGGTTCTCCGCTTCTTGGGAAGAGCGGTAACGGGCCTCCGGTAACCTCACTCAAATGACGAAAACAATACAAGCGTTGTTTCACGGCAGTTTTCTGTAAGGCCGTGGTATCACTCCGGGCGAGCCGGCCCATCGGACGCATGGATCTCCCACACTTAGCAAATTTCAAGATGCCCGCGCTCAACTGACAAAATCTACACAATCGTTGGCTTAACCATGGGAAAAATCTAGTCAAATACACCAAAGAATCGATTTATCACTTGCCGCACCGCAGTTCCTAGAACATTTACACTAGATACAAACATACACTCATCCATGACCTTTTGTATTATATGACGTAACACACATTTTTTCAAAGTACGTGTGCTACATCACAATTTATATGTTACTGTAAAAGCTCGAACTGCAGTAAATCCAGTAAAACCAGATATTCCAGTAAAACCTAAGATCTACCAATTCCAAAAGGTAAATGTCCAAAAAAAATTACGATTCGAACTTTTACCACCATTCCGTTGGTAAATCTTAGGATTTGCATCAATGGCACGGTAAATGTTGAAAAACAAAACATGTCATAATGTGCTCAGCGCATCGACTTGTAGCTTGCCGCTCCCGCTACCCGCGCACCGTCTCCGCCACTCCGCTCGCCTCAATCGCTCGTTTGACACGTTTGAACTCGCACGATAAACTGATTTATAATTATATTTTTGGTGTTCAAAAGTTATTTATGAATAAAAATGAGTATGAAGCAAAGATTTTATCCCTTAAAAAAAATAATAATAAAAATAAATCATAAGACATCAAAGAAAACATTTTCCTCATCGCTACCGTGAGGTAGGATGCCCAAAAGACTGGCAGCATTGCCACGTTGAATGGCAATGCTTAACCTTTGCCCAAGGTAGTAGCCAGCCCTTCAATCACCTGAAGTGTCAACCATCCTCCTTACAATATCTTTGTAAAGAAGATGTGTTCCCCAAACGGTTTGAAAGCATAATTGCCAATCATGCTATTATACTTTCGCCGTTTGAGGTTGTAAGATGGGATGGCGCCAGAGTATCAACGCAAGTGGCGTCCCATACTAAAGCCCTACCCATCTTCCAAGGGAATAATGACATACCGTCGGGTCTCTTACCATCGTCGTGTACCAAGCCATTAGGTTCTAAAGTAGCTGGCACGCCAACGGAGGCAAGAGCTCGACGAATTTAAGTCATTAATACTTGCGTGTCGAGCAAAACGGCCCGCACTACGGCTACATGACAAGCCGTGGTGTCCAAGGCTGTTGACATCTTCACCACAACGACAACGATGAGGTGAACAAAATGAAGCTCCAAGCCTTAAACAAATTTTATTAAATAATGGACGAGCTTGTGGCAAACAAAAAGATATTAACAAATACGCTAAGTGTTTAAAGGAAGTAAAAACTGCAAA